CCAGAATTCCCCAGCCAGCATGGCTGGCTGGGGAATTCTGGGAGTTGAAGTCCACACAGTTTAAAGCTGCCACGGTTGAGAAACACTGAACCAGACGGTATTTGTCTAGCATATTGTGCAAATTAAGCAACTCAGCTGGCATTTTCAAATGAGCTATTTTCTATGACTCCAAGGTCCTATTCCTGATCATTAATGGTGTACTGAAAATGGGAAAGGCGCTTTGTTTTGAGTTCAGGAAACTCAAGAGCAAACAAACCAGCTCAAAATATTCCAGCGAAACAGTTACAGTGGTTCTATTTCTTCAGAACAAAACATAAAATAGCTGAAGTGTTCTGTTTCGACGTTAAAAAAAGAAATAATCTTACACAGAACGTCCCATTTTCAGGGGATATTGTATGACTCAAACACCCCAATGCTGCTTGAAAAAAACAAGTTTTGACCTTGGGGGAAAAAAATCTTGGAATATATCCGTTTGACCTGGAATTCAAAATATTTCAAACTCAAAACACTTCATTTCCGCCTGAGATCTCAAAACATATATAGTGAACTGCATTTGCCTCAAAGACTCACTGACCCAGAGAGGAATACTTTCTGAGCTCCTTCTAATTTCCTTCTTAAAAGTTTCTAACCTCGACAATTTGGTATCAGTTGCAAACTTGGCCAGCTGACTGCTCATCCTGAATTTCAGATGGTTTAAATACAAATGAAAAAGCACTGGTCTCAGCGCTAACCCTTGGGGAAATCTCATTTGGCACATCTTCCCAATGTGGAAACGGACCATTCCTCCCTCCCCCGTTTCCTGTTCTTCAACCAGTTCCCACGTGGAGCAGCCCTTGTTCTCTTATCCCCAGGCTGCAGAGTTTGCTAAGGAGCATTTGGTGAGGACACGGGTGAAGAGGTTGGCTGCATCTTTACTCTGCAACGCTGGGCAGAACCTCGAAAAATATTGAGAGTTTTGTTCTGTTGGAACATACGCAAAATACTCGGAGAGGACATTCCACGTGGGCCTGTTTTGTTCCGAATCCCCCCAAATGGGTTCCTTGTGTGCCCTTAAGCAGCACCCAAGTTTGTATGAGAATCCGTTCTCCGCCAAGATTCTAAATGCACCTACCTTGTATGAATAAACAACTTTGCAGGTCAACGGGTAATTTCGGAGTGTGCCAGAAGGACTGGAGTTGCTGTCATCAAAAGCATCCATACCATCTTCCACTTCTTCTCCTTCTTCCCTTTCTAGGTCAACATTTAGCTAATGAAGAAAAATGGGAAGAGAGGGTAAGCAACGCTTACTAAGTAAACCTGCTGCCTTCCTGAAGATAGGAGCAGAGTGAACACCCAGAAAGAATTTAAGCTGGAGACCTCGCTGCCATTGGTTGAGAAACAATTATTTCCATTTTATCTGTGTTTCCCCAATAAAAGTGGGGAAGCGAAGAATAAAGTGGAGTCCTTTAAGAAAAAAGCAGGATTGTGTCTGCAGCGTGATCGCCACTACAAATGACACGGGCATGCCTGGGAAAGAGGCAAGGCTGAAATGACTGGTGTGCCACAAGTGAACATGTCAAGGAAAGGATTGACACAGTGTGCATGTGCTGTGAAAAAAGGCCCATAGCGTGTTAGGGACAATAAGGAATGGTACTGAAAATAAAGATGCCAATAGCCAAATGCCCTTATCAGTGGTGGGACCAAATCTGGAATATGGTGAGCAGTTCTGGTTGCCGCACCTGAAAGGAATATAGTGGCGCTGGAGAAGGTCCGGAGGAGGGCAACTAAGATGATCCAGGGGCAGGAGCAGCTTCCCTACGAAGAAAGGTTGCGACATTGGGGGCTTTTTAGTCTAGAAGGGAGGCAAACGAGAGGGGACATGACGGAGGTGTACAGAATTAAGCACGGTGTAGGTAAGATGGATATGGAGAAGGAATTTTCCCTTTCCCAAAATACTAGAACCAGAGGTCACCCGATGAAATGGAATCTTGGAAGAATCAGGACAGACAAATATTTTTCTACCCAACGCCTAATTCACCTCTGGAATTTGCTACCATGAGATGTGGGACTGGCTACCCGCTTGGCTGGCTTCACGAAAGAGTTGGACCAATTCCCAGAAGTCTTGGAGATCCATGGCTCTTAGCCTGGATGGCAGTGGGGCTGCCTCTGAAGGCCATCTGCTGGGAGACGGGTGGGCTTCCTTGGGCAGTTGGTGGCCCACTGGGAGGACAGGCTGCTGGATGAGATAGGCCAGGGGTCTGATCCAGCAGGGCACCACTCATATTATGTTCTTACGGCCCACCACCCTTGGCAGGAATCCTGCTGCAAATTAGCCATCCATGTAGGGCCACATTATGACTTCCTCCATAAAAATAATAGTAATAAAATTATATTTCATATGATTTTCAAAATGTTCTTCATATTTTATAGAGAAACAGGGAATAGTAAATGCATTATATGTATTATTTTGTAATAATAATCAGTTGTTACCAATTAATTATGATGTCTGTCCGGTATCATCAAAGTTACTAAATTTTAGTATTCAGGCTATACCTATAGGATACAAGACCACTGGCTTGATGTTCAAATGTTGTACGTTTCTTGCCTCTTTTTATTAAAAAAAAAAAGCATGTCAATAAATAAATAATCCCTAAAAAAATAACTTCTACTTCATTTTTATTCTTTCTGATTTACAAAAAAACTAAAAACATTTTCAGGGGCCCTGGACACGGTGCCTATTCTGCCTAAGGGATCACTTGGTCCTGCATCCGTGGAGAAAAGTAAGAGGTGTATTGTTGAAGGCTTTCACGGCCGGAATACGATGGCTGGTGTGGGTCTTCTGGGCTGTGTGGCCGTGTTCTGGAAGTTTTGTTTCCTAACGTTCCGCCAGCATCTGTGACCAGCATCTTCAGAGGGCAGCCCTCTGAAGATGCT